GGAGCAGGAAGAGGAGGAGGAGGAGGAGAGGGGAGGAGGAGGAGGGCGGAGGTGGAGGAGATGGAGGAGGAGGATGGAGGGAGGAGGAGGAGGAGGAGGAGGAGGAGGAGGAGGAGGAGATGGAGGAGGAGGAGGATGGTCAGGAGGAGGAGAAGGAGGAAGAGGAGGAGGAGGAGGACGGGGTGCAGGGGCGACATCCTGACGGACCAATCTATCGCACGGGGCGCCCACGAGGCGCCCACGATTGGCCACCAACCAGCGAAGCGGGTGCCAGGCGAAGCCCTGCCGAACCCATCGAATTACGTAAGAATCCCCAGATGAAAGCATTGTTTGGGGAAAAAGGTGTTTGTCATCAATCTTCCCTTGCTTCTGCTGTTCCCCTAGTTTCCTCCTCGCCCTGCTGTCCACTCTCATGCCCAGCCTCCTCTCGTCCTCCGCCCTGTTCCGCACGTGCACCCTCTTGTCGTCGACACCCTCACCGTCCTCCACCCTTCTCTGACATTGCCTTTCAGGTGGCCATCGCGCGCGCGCTGCTCATGGACCCTCGCGTGTTGCTTCTCGACGAGGCAACGTCGGCGCTGGACGCGGAGAGCGAGTCCATCGTGGCGCGTGCCATCCAGAAAGCGACGGCCTTAGCATGTTCCCAATGGCGAACTGATTTGCAGTCGAGCGTTGTTCGAGTGCAGACTCTCCTCGAATGGGTGGTGTAGCTGGCGCGGACTCATTGCTACCCTCGCGGCTAGCAGCTTCATAAGCGTTCCCCGCCTCAGGCCCCTCCGTGATATTGGAGGGCTAAGTGATAGCTGCGTCCGAGAGATCTGAATATCGCCAGAATCCAGTCGCCCAGCTCACATCTTTGCCGGCCCATCCTCAGCGACTTTAGCTGGTCAACCCCGTCCGAAAAACGTTAACATGGCCTTCTCAGGTCCTTGGATCAATGGAGGAAAACAACACACCCGGACATATGGTAGGTTCGTGCAGCGGCAGCGCGCGCAAAGTTTGTTGGCACCGCGTCGATCGTTCAACCTGGAACCGATCGCGGCCCCGATCATGCAAGGTTGAACTCCGTCGGGTCATGTGGCGTTACCCTGCCGCTCATTGCTTCCGCGTTGTTCTATCATGCGGAATTAAACCTTGAACGTCTTCGCCAGCTCGCCATCGCCGCATGATCCTACCGCACGTCTCTGATCAGGTCTAGCAGATTTTCTCGAAGGTCGAACAAGATCTGGAGGTCCTCTGGGACGAGCCTGCGAAAGAGAACGTCTCACTGCACCGACCTTGCAGACGTGCTACAGCTGATTTCTGCGTGGATGTTTGTCAATGCAAGACCCCGGAACGGCGAGTGAAAAACGACGAGAATTTCGAGTGGATGTTTGTTCGTTGTCACTCCTGGCCCCAAACACATCGGCACGAAATTCACCTCGAAATCCAGAACGAAATTCTCCAGGACCAGACGCGTTTCCCAGAATAGCTGCGGGGATGTAGCGCTCCTGCCGCCTCGGTGGTTCCAGGGCTTAGGCATCAGGGGAAGGAGAAACATATCAGAGTGAGGGGGCCGAACGGTCATTCACTGTCCCTGGGTGCGTGGCTGAAGTGGAATTCCGCGGTGCGGATTCTCGTTGTTGTTGTTGTTGAACATTATTAATTCTAAAGAATAATTATTGTTGGGACCCCTGGTGCACGGCCCCCCTGCGCCGCCTAGGCCGCAGCTACATTTTCATCATTTTCGTGAGGAAGCCTCAGGTAATACGATGTGATCAAGATCCGGTTGTTTTGTTGTAATCCGTTTTCCCTTGCAAAAAACACTATAAAATGACATTTCTTGTTCTAATATAATCAAATTTCAAGAATCCCTTGCAAAAAATAAGGTAAAGTGGACATTCGCGCGCGCAAGACGAAATCCTTCCAAAAGCTTAGTGTTCGGAGCGATTTTAACATAAAAACATCAAAAAACCAATGGTTTTTCAACAAAAAAATGTCAAAATCTCATCCCGCGCGCTCTTGCGGATTCGTAACAGAGTTGTGTATTCCCATCATCCCAGGAACTTGACCCAAAAATGTGACCAACTCCGCTCTCTCTGTCTCTCTCTCTGTCTGCTCTCTGTCTCTCTCTCTGTCTCTCTGTATTATGTATTGTATGGCACAATTGCACCATGCTGGGCACATGCGCGCCCCGAATAAGTGACCAAGTTCTGTGGGTGTGTACCCCACGCCAGTGTAGTAGCCACGGTCGTCCGCACGCCACGAAGTGAAGTGTCCCAACGTCATAGGGCGGGAAGCTGGGTTTGGGTGGTCGCGAAGAGTCGTTTGGATATTTGGTAGAGCTTGTAATGCCCCCCCACGAAGTGGGGGTATTGCCTGGTGTCGTATGAAAACCCTGGCACTGGGGAGAACACCACGCGTTCGGGTAAAATGATTGTTGCTGTTGTTGTTGTGGTTGGTGTTGTTGTTGTTGTTGTTTGTGGTGTTGTTGTTGTTGTGGTTGGTGTTGGTGTTGTTGTTGTTGTTGTTGTTGTTGGTGGTGTTGTTGTTGTTGTTGTTGCTGTTGTTGTTGTTGTTGGTGTTGGTGTTGTTGTTGTTGTTGTTGTTGTTGTTGTTGTTGTTGTTGTTGTTGTTGTTGTTGTTGTTGTTTGTTTTTGTTTGTTGTTGTTTGTTGTCGTCGTCCCACCCGCAACCCGCCCCGCGACCCACATGCGACCCACCCCGCGACCCACCCCGCGACCCACCCGCGACCCACCCGCGACCCACCCGCGACCCACCCCGCGACCCACCCCGCGACCCAACCTGCGACCCACCCCGCGACCCACCCCGCGACCCACCCCGCGACCCAACCTGCGACCCACCCCGCGACCCATCCCGCGACCCACCCGCGACCCACCCGCGACCCACCCGCGACCCACCCGCGACCTACCCCGCGACCCACCCGCGACCCACCCGCGACACAAACCACGTTCAAGGTACAAACCACCATTTTCGGCGCCTGCGGTGAGCTTTTCTTTTTTTTGCATTCCTTCCAGGTGGATAGCCCGCGACCCACCCCGTGACCAACTCGCGACCAACCCGCGACCCAAACCACGTTCAGGGTACAAACCACATTTTTCGGCGCTTGCAGCGAGCATCTTTTGCATTCGTTTCAGGTGGAGAGCCCGCGGCCCACCCGCGACCACGTTCAGGGTACAAACCATTTTTTTCGGCGCCTGCTGCGGGCATCTTTTGCAGTCTTTCCCGGTGGAGAACCCGCGGCCCACCCGCGACCCAAACCACGTTCAGTGTACAAACCAATTTTTTTGGCGCCTGCGGCGGGCTGCTTTTGCATTCCTTCCAGGTGGAGGTGGAGAACCCGCGACCCACCCGCGACCTAAACACGTTCACTGAACAAACCAATGCCGCACAAGCGCGGCGGCGGATTTTTGCATGCCGTCTGAGCCCGCAAGGACCTCTTCAAGCCCCGCGCATCCACACCAGCCCGTCCAGCAACTCTGCCCTGGCGAGTTGCCTTAATCAGAGAAGGCGGGGAGCATAAAGTGGAAAAAAGGATTGCGTTGCAGTTATCTTGGGAAAGGAGGGGGAGGCAGGAGGAGTAAACAGGGGACGAGGAGAACGCGGAAGAAGAGAGGATGTAAGGAGAATGTGGAGAAAGAAAAGGAGGAGGAGCAGGAGGACGAGGAGGGGGAGGAGGGGGAGGAGGGGGAGGAGGAGGACGAGGAGGGGGAGGAGGGGGAGGATGATGATGATGGACGACAATGGGAGGACGATGATGGAGGCCGATGAGGGGGAGGACGACAATGGGAGGACGATGATGAAAGGACGAGGGGGGGAGAGGGAGGACGAGGAAGAAGAGGAGGAGGACGAGATGGAGGAGGAGGATGACGATGACGATGACGATGAGGACGAGGAAGAGGAGGAGGAGGAGGAGGAGGAGGAGGAGGAGGAGGAGGACGAGAGCGCCATCGACAGGGAAGGTGGGGGCCACGAGGTCCGCCGGCTCGACGACGCCCGCGTCGCCCGCGCCCGCCCCCTCACTCTTATCCGCAATTGCGGGGTGCTACGTATGTTATTTTCTTCCGATCTTGAGCCAGGGCTGAACCTAAACGGTGTTATTCGTTTTCGTGTTGTTTTCGTTTTGTTTTCGTTTTCCCTCGTTTTGTCTTCGATTCGCCTTTACCGCAAAACGAAATCGAAACGAAAACGGCCCACGAAATCGCCAAAATTTTGTTTAGGTCCAGCCCTGTCTTGAGCCACAACGCGTACGGAACGATCGCTGCCGAAACCGGTCCCCACGGGGCGGGGTCGCTCCACGTGGAGACCAGGATCCGCGGGAGGCGGGCGAATAACGCACCAGAGCCCCCCAATCGCTCCCTGCGATAAGCTCGCCTCTCTGTGTCAATCCAGTGCTGCTGCACCGTCTCCGTCCGTGCATCAAGTAGTCTACAGGATGTGCAGCACAATGCCATGCTATGCCTCACGCACCGCACGGCACTGTATCATCCAGCTTCTCCGGACGCTCCCGGAGCCCGCGAACGTGGCCGAAATTGCTGGGGCAAATGTCGGCACCTGCAATATTGAATCGGGTCACTGGAATCAACGCCTGTGACCGTTTAGATGCCACGAGCGCTGGGGCGATGTAACAACCGCCCGAATTTCCGCCCCGGCCGAGTGAACATCACCACACTCGGCCAAAATTTGGAAAAACATAAGATTGGCATTGCTTCTGCTGCTCCTACGCGTGCCTGGCCAAAAGATGGAACAACATAAGATTGACATCGGCTCTGCTGCTCCTACGCGTGCCAAGTCTCTTGCATTGTACTCGTTCCTTCGCCCCCGCACACGGGGGGAGGGGGGGGGATCGAGCAGGGGATGGGGAGGATTTTCGGAGCGGGGGGGGAACCCCGGGCTCCAGAGGGAGGGGGGGGGGAATTTTCCATAGTGAAGCGGCGATGGATCACGCTCTCTCGGACATTCAGGTGGGCGCATGTTGTAACTTTCTTGGCTCAAATCATAGGCGGCTGAGGATCACCCCGGTACTGAACTCCAAAGGCCAGTGGTTCTCCGGAGGGGCCGGCTCCTTGGCCAGCGCGCCTGGCCGTGACATTCATATTCGGCGGGTGGGAAGAGATAGCATCAGAGGGAGTGGCATATCATGAGTATATCATCTTCGTATCGTTGTGTTGCACCATGCTGCGCAAGGCAGGCTGCAGTAGCGCTAGCAATGCTTTCTTTCTACAACTACTTCGCGCATTCCGCCGGCCCCCCGCTGTCTTGGACCGCTTTGGTTAGAGCCGTTTTGCGCCCCTTCCAGATCGCCTTAAGATGGCCCGCGAGGCCCCCAGGAGGGTACCCAGACGGCCCAAGAGGGCCCAATGATTGTCCAGGAGGTTTCCCAGACGGTCCAAGAGGGCCTCAAGAGGGGCCCAAGAGGATGCCAACAGAGGAAACAGTCAGGGGCCTTGTGAGCTTGATTTTCCAATTTTGCCCCCAAAGATCCAAAATGCTTCCAAGAGCTTTTCAAAGGGCCCCAGAAGCATCTAAAAAGCTTCCAAGAGGACTTCTAGGATGGGTCATGCACGTGAGAAATCAGCAGTTTTGGCCAGAGAGGCCTCGAAAGGCCCGAAGACGGCACAAGCCAGCGGCACGTTGCCCTATACAAGTTGATGGCGCTTGCGGTGCCCGTGCCAAGCGGGTGATGCAGAGAGTGCGGTTCGAGTTCTGTTTTTCTCCTGGTTGTGAGAGCAGCCCCAAGTCGTGGGCCGGGGCAGGATGGGGGGGGGCGAGGGCCGCACAGCAGGCTGTCACACGTCCTGGGGGCGACAGGTTGGCAGCTTTAAGGGCTCCATCTTCTTCAAGAGGCCTCCGATGGCCCAGGAGGGCGCCGGGCCACCACAATGGCCCAAGATACCATCCTGAGGAGAAGGGGGAGGAGGATAATCGTGGAGGAGGAGCAGGAGGAAAGGGAGGAGGAGGAGGAAGAGGAGGAGGATGAGGAGGAGGACGAGGAGGAGGAGGAGGAGGAGGAGGGGGAGGAGGAGGAAGGAGAGGAAGGAGGAGGGAGGAGGAGAGAGGACGAGGAGGAAAAGACCCGAGATCGCTCAACGGTGGCCCAACCCCGGGCCACGACGAGGACCCTCACGAGGGCCTCGAGAGGCCACCACCATATATATAAATATATATATATATATACATATAAAAGTAAATCAACAAATAAATAAATAAATAAATAAACAAATAAATAAAACAAAATAAATACATAGATAAATCTGTCTATTTTTTTGGGGGGGGGGGGGGTCGGCGTTCTCGCCTGCGAGGGATTCTGGCGGCCTAAGATGGCCCCAGAGGCCTCCCATATCGCCCCCGAGCGGAGCCCAGAGGCCCCAAAGAGGGCCCCCCAGAGGGCCCCATGACGGCCCCGGAGGGCCCCCAAACGGCCCACCCAAGATGGGTCCAAGAAGGGCGTCCAAGAGGGGCCCAGGAAGGGCAAGACAGCCAGAGAGGGCCGCAGGACGACCCACGAGGGCCCCAGGACGACTCGAGCGTCCCCCCCTCTGCGCCCCCCAAGAGGCTCCCGAGAGGCTCCCAAAAGCTGGTCCAGAGAGGCAGCCCGGACGGCGCGGAGAGCTCCCAAGAGGACCCCTTCTCGAGGTCCCTGAGAAGGGCCCCGGGGACGGCCGTGCGGCGGGTGCGGCTCCGACGAGGAGGCTCCCGCACCCCTGGCGGCCCAGTGGCAGGCGCGGCTTCGACGCCGAGGCCTCCCGGAGCTCCAGGTTCGGGCATAGCGTTGTGGAGGGCGATCGATGGAGAGGAAGCGCGTTGCCAAATCATGTCCAGATGTCTGAAACATGTGTTACACATTTTGTAAGCATGTAGAAAACATGTTTGAAACATGTTTGGAACATTGCTCCGACACTGTAAACACATTTCCAATTCAATGATAAGTCTGTTGGAGTGTCCATGGTCGTGGCATCCACAAGTATAGCCAGGACCTCAGGTAAGGGGACCCGGTTAGTGGTAGCGCCCCGGAGCCCCTAAATTGGACGGAATCACTAAACTAGGGTTGCCGTAGTTTTTTTTTTTCCGGGTGACGGCAACTCCGGTTAGTGGAAGGGGGCAGAGGGGGCGTCCCCCAGTACACATTATTAAACCAGGTCCCACTAAACCTAGTTCTGCCAACGCCCGACAGGTGACGGAGCGCACTGCTGGAGGCCTAAGTCGGGCATGTCCCTCTACAGGGGGAATATTTAGAAATACTTGAACAAAAATGTCAGTGGACGATTTCTGAAGAATTGTTGGACTATTTTTGCATATTTTTCCCAACCATCCCGTGGTGTTTGGTCCTCGTTTTGAAGAGACGGCGTCCCGCGTTCCTCCTCCTCCTCCTCCTCCTCCTCCTCCTCCTCCTCCTCCTCCTCTCCTCCTCCCTCCTCCCCCTCCTTGCCTCTGCCCTCCGCATGTCTCTCTGTCGGCACACCCCTCACACGTTTCGTGGCCAGATAGGGAGCTGCACCCAAGGTCCCAGTGGCGGAACTCGCATGGCGGCCCCGCGCCATTTCGGCACACCCCTGACACGTTTCGTGTCCCCATAGGGAGCTGCACCCAAGGTCCCAGTGGCGGAACTCGCATGGCGGCCCCGCGCCATTTCGGCACACCCTTGACACGTTTCGTGGCCCCATCGGGAGCTCCACCGAAGGTCCCAGTGGCGGAACTCGCATGGCGGCCCCGCCCCATTTTGGCACACCCCTCACTCGTTTCGTGGCCCCAGAGGGAGCTCCACCGAAGGCCCCAGTGGCAGAACTCGCATGGCGGCCTCGGGCCATTTCGGCACACCCCTCACGAGGATCGTGGCCCCATAGGGAGGTCCACCTAAGGTCCCCAGTGGCGGAACTCGCATGGCGGCCCCGCGCCATTTCGGCACACCCCTCACACGTTTCGTGGCCCCATCGGGAGCTCCACCGAAGGCCCCAGTGGCGGAACTCGCATGGCGGCCTTCGGCCATTTCGGCACGGCCCCAGAGGGAGCTCCACCGAAGGCCCCAGTGGCAGGGTTCGCATGGCGGCCTCGGGCCATTTCGGCACACCCCTCGCGAGGATCGTGGCCCCATAGGGAGCTCCACCGACGGCGCCAGGGGCAAGGTTCGCATGGCGGCCTCGGGCCATTACGGCACACCCCTGACGAAGATCGTGGCCCCCACCGCAGGCGCCAGTGGCAGCGTTCGCATGGCGGCCTCGGGCCATTTCGGCACACCCCATCACGAGGATCGTGGCCCCATAGGGAGCTCCACCGAAGGCCCCAGCGGCAGGGTTCGCATAGCGGCTTCGGGCCAGTTCGGCACACTCCTCACGAGGATCGTGGCCCCATAGGAGCTCCACCAAAGGCGCCAGTGGCAGCTTCCTTCATGGCTCTCAGAGCCCTCTCCTGCTTCTGCTCCTCGGTCAGGCTGGGCGCCATCCTCGTCGTCGTCGGCGCCCGCGAAGTCGGCCGCGAACGTGTCCCTGAGCATGTCGGGCTCTGGCGGGAAGGCGTGGCCACATAGGGAGCGTGGGCGAAGATTGTATTCACAATTCCGGTATTCACAACTGCGTATGGTTGGGTCTTTCGCCAAGCTAATCCGATGTTTTTCCTGACCTCCTCCCTCCTCCCTACGTTTCACCCACCCACTACAGCGCTTCGTGGCCCCATGGGGAGCTCCAACTACGATCCCAGTGGCGGAACTCGCATGACGGCCCCGCCCCATTTTGGCACACCCCTCACTCGTTTCGTGGCCCCACAGGGAGCTCCACCGAAGGCCTCAGTGGCAGAACTCGCATGGCGGCCCCGCCCCATTTCGGCACACCCCTCACGAGGATCGTGGCCCCATTGGGAGCTCCACCTAAGTTCCCCAGTGGCGGAACTCGCATGGCGGCCCCGCCCCATTTTGGCACACCCCTCACGAGGATCGTGGCCCCACTCCACTTGAGGTCCCCAGTGGCGGAAGTCGCATGGCGGCCCCGCCCCATTTTGGCACACCCTTCAAACGCTTCGTGGTCCCATCGGGGGCTCCACCGAAGGCCCCATTGGCGGAACTCGCATGGCGGCCTCGGCCATTTCGGCACGGCCCCATAGGGAGCTCCACCGAAGGCCCCAGCGGCAGGGTTCGCATGGCGGCCTCGGGCGATTTCGGCACACCCCTCACGAGGATCGTGGTCGAGCTCCACCGAAGGCGCCAGTGGCAGGGTTCGCATGGCGGCCTCGGGCCATTTCGGCACACCCCTCACGAGGATCGTGGCCCCATAGGGAGCTCCACCGAAGGCGCCAGGGGCAAGGTTCGCATGGCGGCCTCGGGCCATTTCGGCACACCCCTCACGAGGATCGTGGCCCCCCCACCGAAGGCGCCAGTGGCAGCGTTCGCATGGCGGCCTCGGGCCATTTCGGCACACCCCATCACGAGGATCGTGGCCCCATAGGGAGCTCCACCGAAGGCCCCAGCGGCAGGGTTCGCATAGCGGCCTCGGGCCATTTCGGCACACTCCTCACGAGGATCGTGGCCCCATAGGAGCTCCACCGACGGCGCCAGTGGCAGCTTCCCTCATGGCTATCAGAGCCCTCTCCTGCTTCTGCTCCTCGGTCAGGCTGGGCGCCATCCTCGTCGTCGTCGGCGCCCGCGAAGACGGCCGCGAACGTGTCCCTGAGCATGTCGGGCTCTGGCGGGAAGGCGTGGCCACATAGGGAGCGTGGGCGAAGATTGTATTCGCAATTCCGGTATTCACAACTGCGTATGGTTGGGTCTTTCGCCCAGCTAATCCGATGTTTTTCCTGACCTCCTCCCTCCTCCCTGCGTTTCACCCACCTGCTACAGCGCTTCGTGGCCCCATGGGGAGCTCCAACTACGATCCCAGTGGCGGAACTCGCATGACGGCCCCGCCCCATTTTGGCACACCCCTCACTCGTTTCGTGGCCCCACAGGGAGCTCCACCGAAGGCCCCAGTGGCAGAACTCGCATGGCGGCCCCGCCCCATTTTGGCACACCCCTCACGAGGATCGTGGCCCCATAGGGATCTCCACCTAAGGTCCCCAGTGGCGGAACTCGCATGGCGGCCCCGTCCCATTTTGGCACACCCCTCACGAGGATCGTGGGCCCATTCCACCTAAGGTCCCCAGTGGTGGAATTCGCATGGCGGCCCCGCCCCATTTTGGCACACCCTACACACGCTTCGTGGCCCCATCGGGAGCTCCATAGAAGGCCCCAGTGG